AGAGGCTCCCAGCCTCACAGGAGAGTTCGTTGGGGAGGCCCACAGGGTCCTAGAACATACACAAGCCCATACACCCGGGAACCAGCACCAGAAGGGCCCAATTTGCTTGTGAAAAGCAGCAGAGGGGACCAAAATCTGAGAGAGAAAGGAAAAAGCACCATCATTCCTTCTGACCCCGCCACCACATACAGTGTCAAAACCCAGCAACTTGAGTTGCCCCACCCTGGTGAACACCTAGGCTCCGCCCCTCATACATAACAAGCACCAACAGACCAAAACATTATGGCTCAAGGAGAAGAACAGCTCAAAGCCCCAGAGCCAATACTTTTAAGGGACCAATAGATAGCCAACCTATCAGATGCACAGTTCAAAATACTTCAAAATACTGGTGCTCAGGATGTTCACAGAACTGGTTGAACTTGGTCACAAATTAGATGAAAAAATGAAGGCTATACTAAGTGAAATGAAGCAAAATGCACAGGGAACCAATAGTGATGGAAACAAAACTGGGACTAAAATCAATGGAGTGGACCAGAAGAAAGAAAAAAACAACCAATCAGAAAAGAATGAAGAAACAAGAATTCAAAAAAAAATGAGGAGAGGGTTAGGAACCTCCATGACATCTTTAAACATTCCAACATCTGAATTATAGGGGTACCAGAAGAAAAAGAGGAAGAGCAAGAAATAGAAAACTTATTTGAAAAACAATAATGGAGAACTTACCCAATCTGGCAAAGGAAATAGACTTCCAGGAAGTCCAGGAAGCTCAGAGAGTCCCAAAGAAGGTGGACCCAAGGAGGAACACACCAAGGCACATCATCATTATATTAGCAAAGATTAAAATCAAGGAGAGAGGACTTCCACCAAGATGGAGGCATAGGTGGAAGCACTGTGCCTCCTCACACAACCAAGTTTAAAAACAACAGTTTTAGCAACAAAAACTCAGCCAAACCACAGAAAATTGAACTACACAAAAGTCTGAACACAACGAACCCTTCAGCCAAACTGGTAAGAGGGGCAGAGCCAGCAGCAGAGCAGGGTCAGACAAGAAAGATCCACAGGACCAACCCAGGAGTGCGACCCAGGGATGCTGACAGCTGTAGGCAGATCCCAGGTATGGAGTAGCAGACAAATCCACTGTGGGCACAAGGCTGTGGACTCACTGAGGGCTGACCACGGTCACACATTCACGCACAGACAAACCGGTGAAGGAGTGAGCGGTGAGATAGACCATGCAGGCCCCAGTGGCAGGAAGCGGCAGAGGGGAGCACTATTGTCCCTCTCTGACCCCGCCCCCACATACAGCGTCACAAACCAGCCACCTGGGTGGCCCACCCTGGAGAACAACTAGGTGCCCGCCCCTCAGACATAACAGGCACCAACAGACAAAAACATTATGGCTCAAGGAGAAGAACAGCTCAAAGACCCACAGCCAATTCTTTTAAGTGACCAGGAGGTAGCCAACCTATCAGATACACAGCTCAAAACACAGGTGATCAGGATGCTCACAGAACTGGTTGATTTTAGTCACAAATTAGAGGAACATATGAAGGCTAAACTAATTGAAATGAATGGAAGTGCACAGGAAACCAATAGTAATGGAAAGGAAACTGGGACTCAAATCAAAGGAGTGGACCAGAAGGAGGATAAAAAGGACCAAACAGAAAAGGATGAAGAAACAAGAGTTCAAGAAAATGAGGAGAGGCTTAGGAACCTTCAGGACATCTTTAAACGCTCCAACATCCAAATTATAGGGGTACCAGAAGGGGAAGAGGAACAGCCACGAGTGGAAACCTTATTTGAACAAATAATAAAGGAGAATTTCCCCAATCTGGCAAAGGAAATAGACTTCCAGGAAATCCAGGAAGCCCAGAGAGTCCCAAAGAAGTTGGACCCAAGAAGGAACACATCAAGGCACATCATCATTACATTAGCCAAGATTAAAATGAAGGAGAGAATCCTAGAAGCAGCAAGAGATAAGGGGACAGTCACCTACAAAGAAGTGACCATCAGACTGTCAGTTGATCTCTCAAAAGAGACCTTACAAGCAAGAAGGGACTGGAAACAAGTATTCCAAGTCATGAAATCCAAAGACCTACATCCAAGATTGCTCTATCCAGCAAAGCTGTCATTTAGAATGGAAGGGCAGATAAAGTTCTCGATAAGATAAATTCAAAGAGTTCATCATCACCAAGCCCTTATTCTATGAAATGTTAAAGGGACTTACCTAAGAAAAAGAAGATAAAAAAAGATGAACAGTGAAAGGACAGCAAACTCACAGTTATTAACAACCACACCTAAAACAAAAGCAAACTAAGAGGACAGCTAGATCAGGAGCAGAACCACAGAAATGAAGATCACATGGAGGGTTAGCAAGAGGGGAGAGGGAGAAGGGGGGGAAGGTACAGAGAATAAATAGCATAGACAGTAGGTAGAAAATAGATAGGGAGGAGAGCGAGAATAGTATGGAAAAGTAGAAGCTAAAGAACTTGTGACACATGGACATGAACTAAAGCAGGGGTTTTGGGGAGAAGGGGTGCGAGGGGTGGAGGGGAATGAAGGGTGGGAAATGGGACAACTGTGATGGCATAATCAATAAAATTGGGGAAAAAAGAGATGTTAAAGGGTCTTCCAGGAGAAGAAGGTGAAGAAGGAGAGTGAGGAGAAAGAGGAGAAAAAAATCTTAAAAACATGAGTAATAAAATGGCTATAAGTACATATCTATCAAAAGTTAATTTAAAGGAAAATAAATTAATTGCTCCAATCAAAAGACCTAGGGTGGCTCCAAGAGTAACAACACAACCTTCTTATATGCTGTTTATACGAGGATCAATTCAGATCGAAAGAAAAACACAGAATGAAGGTAAAGGGATGAAAACAACATATTTCATGAAAATGGAAATGAACAAATAAAAAAGCTGGAGTAACAATACTTACACCAGAGAACACAGACTTAAAAGGAAGGCGATGTAACAAGAGAGAAAGAAGGGCCCATCATTTCCACTTTTGGGTATTTATTTGAAGAAACCCAAAACACTTCACCAAAAACACATACTCATTCGTATGTTCATTGCAGCACTATTTACAAAGGCCAGGACATGGAGCCAACCTAAGTGTCCATTGATAGATGATTAGATAAAGAGGTGGTGCATATATACAACAAAATATGGTTAAGCCACACACAGAAAAATAAAATCTTGCCATTGGCAACAACATGGATGGAGAGTATGATTCTGAGTGAAATATATCAGACAGACAAAGACAAATGCCAGGTAATTGCACTTACAAGTGGAATCTAAAAAATAAGGTAATTGAGCAGAACAGAAGCAGACTCATAAATACAGAGAACAGACTAATGGTTGTCAGAATGGAGGGGGTTCAGTGGGACGGGTGAAAAGTTTAAGGGATTAAGAAGTATGGGGATATAAAGTGCAGCACAGAGAATATACTCATTAATATTGTAATAACTACAATGGTATGAGGCGGGGACTAGATTTATTGGGGGGATGACTTTGTAAAATAAATAAATGTCTGATCACAGAATTGTACACATTAACCCAATATTGTACATCAACTGTTACTGGACAGTAAAAAATAATTTAAAAAAGATAAGTATGTAGAGTTCATTATACAATGGATTAATTTCTTATCTGTCCTTAATGGAAATGGAAAATTAAAAAATATAATACCTCCCATGATGACCAGGAAAGTGCACAAAGACACTCCTGCTACATTCCCAAGTGTCATGAGCCCAGGAAAGTGACCTGTGAGGGCTGAGTTGGCCTCTTCTTTAAGGAACAGCAAGTTCACTTAAGAGAATTAGAGACACAGAACCTGTGATGACTGAGGTGTGGTGAACTGGCAAACACTCTCTCAAAGGAGCATGAGCTTCTCCCTCAAGGAAAGTCAACAGGCAGTGGACACCTGACAGCACTTGCTGTCTGGATGGAATGGAAACTCTCAGAGGAAACCCAGGGTTTTGCAAACGTGTGTCTCCCCAGGGCAGCCAGACAGCTTCCCAGAGCTGACGACCATTTCCAGTGGAGTCTGCGGTAACGTGAACAAGTGTGATTTTTTATAATGTGTCATTAAATGCACCAACACTGGAAGATCTCTATCATTCAGCGAGACAATGCATCACTTTCCAATAATCCTGCATCAATACAAGAGCCACTGAAGTAACGTAACAGAATAGGAAACACTCAATGGTGTAGTTTCAGGTTCCACTTTTCAAAGAGCTTCTCATGAACTACCACTCAGGTAGCTTTCATGTACTATCAAAGCTGAATACCCACACTTATCTCAAAAGGTTATTAAAAATGCTCCTCCTCCATATCTGTGTGAGGCTGTATATTTCTTCGTATACTGCAACCAAAATAACAGGTTAAAATGCAGAAGCAAATGTGAAAATCCAGCAGACTTCTAATGATAGAGAAGAACTGAGACTTGCAAAAACGTAAAATGTAAGAGATTGACTCTTCTCACTACCCTGTGTATTTAGGAAATATTATTTTTTCATAAAAGGTTATTTCTGTTAACATTATAGGTTATTAATATTTTCTAAATGAATTAATTTTTTCATACTGTTTTATTCCTTGTATGGTAAATATTGATAGTTATAACCCACACAAACAAAATTATTTGGGTGTCGGGAGAGACCCCCAAATTAAACAGCCTGTGGGTCGGGACTCAGGGAGACAGCGGGACAGAGTTCTCCGTGCAGGAGGAGAGCTTGGGGCAGAGTCCTGGGTCTCCAGGCCTGGCTCCCAGGGTCTCAGCCCAAAGACCGAGTTTGGAGCAGGGACTCTCAGTGCTGGGGTGTGCCCTTCTCCTTGGCGGTTCGCTTCTGCATCTCCCGGGTCCTCCCGCCTGGATACTCATGATGCTGTCCCAGTTCTCACTCCCATTGGGTGTTCTGACTCCACACAAGCCAATCAGCGTCACTGTGGTTCCGGGTGAAAAACCTTCACGCAGTAAACTCACTCATTCCCCGCAGACGCTCAGCTCCGGTCATGGATTCTGGAGCCCTTGTGCTGCTGCTCTCGGGGGCCCTGGCCGTGACCCTGACCCAGACCTGGGCCAGTGAGTCTGGGGTCAGGAGGGAACAGCCTCTGCGGGACAGAGGCCAGGGGACCCAGAGGGGCGCAGGAGCAGAGCACAGCGTGTCTGCACCACCCCAGGCCCAGACCCCTGACCCCCTCTGGCCTTGGCCCCGCCCCTCCCTCCGGTCGCCGCCCCTTTGGGTCTCCAGCGCCCCCTGCTCCTCTCGACCTGACAGCTGACTCCGGACCCCTGTCCTCCCCGCCCCTAGGGCCCCACCACCTGAGAATCTTCAGCACCGTCCTGTCCGGACCAGGCAACGGGAAGGACAGGTACATCGGGGCCGGCTTTATGGACGACACAGAGACCCTGAAGTATGACAGCGACGCGCTAAACCCCGGGCTGGAGCCGCTGCTACCGTGGCTGGAGCAGCCGCAGGTGGAGCAGGTGGACCCACATTTGTGGGAGGAGCAGACACGTGTTTGCAAGGGTAACCAACACACTTTCCGAGTGGCCCTGAAAAACCTGCGCGCCCACTACAACCAAAGCGAGGATGGTGAGACACGTGAGCCCGGGTCCAGGCGCGACCCCCACTCCCACAGACGATCCTGGGTTCACCTGAGTCACCCGGTCCGAGGGGCACCACGAGGCTGTGGGGCCCCTCCGCCCCCAAACGATAGGAGCAGCGGGGATTTTGACCTGATATCATTTACATCCACTTTAGGTTTAATCACCGCGGGTCTCCTTGCTACTTACTGTCCCCTGAGCAGGGCTAAGTGGGAGGGACTAAGAGGGGAGGAACTGACCTCCCATCTGGGGTCAGTGTCGCACACCCACCAGGAAATGACCGGCTGCTTCGTGGGGTCGGACTGGAGCTTCCTGCGCGGGTACACTAAGCTCGCCTACGACGGCGCCGACTACCTCACCCTGAACCTGGACCTGCCCTCCAAGACAGTGACGGACTCTTCGGCCGAGATCATGTGGCACAATTTGATACCGAACCTTGATGTGGACTCATGGAGGTTCAGAGTGGAGGACCTGTGCCTGCGCTGGTTACACGTCTATGTGAAGAAAGGGAAGGAGATGCTGCTCCGAACAGGTGCCCGGGCGCGGGCCTCCCCAAGGAGGGGGTCTGTGGGCTGGGGCAGCTTCCCACACGGAAAGGAGGGGAATCGGCCAGTGTCACAATGTCCTTCCTGCTCGGGAGAGGGAAGAGACCCCCAGGTCTTCTTATTGTGTGACTCACCCGCCAGCCCAGCTTTCTCTAAAGGACAGTAAGGGACCCAGCCTCTCCCTGAAACACCCCACAGCGGGTCCCTCACACCCTGCAGCACCTGGGGCACCAGGACCCTCTCCCTGGTTCTCTGGGTGAGGACATATATGGAACCCTGATTTGTGCTTTTCTGTCATTTAGCCTCCACCTGAGTCTGTGTTCCACGGTCCTCCCCAACCCCCGAGACCTGGACACTCCTACCCTAGGTTCTCACCCTGATTCTGGAAATTTTCAAGAAATAGGACATTATCCCAGATGCCTCTGTCCAGGCTGCTGACTGAGCGGTACACTCCCTTCCCCCACCCCAGTGGTCCTGTCCACTCTCAGGGTGGTCACATGAGCACTGCTGGAGTGTCCCATCACCATGCAAAATTCCTGAATTTTCTTATCCTTCCCTCAGACCCTCCAAAGACACACGTGACCCACCACCCCATCTCTGACCATGAGGTCACCCTGAAGTGCTGGGCCCTGGGCTTCTACCCTGCGGACATCACCCTGACCTGGCAGCGTGATGGGGAGGACCTGACCCAGGACATGGAGCTGGTGGACACCAGGCCTGCAGGGGACGGAAACTTCCAGAAGTGGGCAGCTGTGGCCGTGCCCCCTGGAGAGGAGCAGAGATACACCTGCCATGTGCAGCACCAGGGGCTGCCTAAGCCCCTGACCCTGAGATGGGGTGAGGAGGGGGTGTGGGCACAGAGCCTCTCTCTCCTCAGGGTGTCCCTGAGCAGGGGCAGGACTCAAGCCTCAGGTTGATCTCTCACCTTCCCCTCGCAGACCCCCCTCCTCAGACCATCATCATCATTGTGGGCATTGCTGCTGCCCTGGGTCTCCTTGGAGCTGTGGCTGCTGGAGCTGTGATGTGGAGGAGGAAGTGCTCAGGTGGGCAAGGGGTGGGGCTGAGTTCCCTGTCCCCTGGGGGTCAAGCTCAGGTGGAAGTTTGCTCTGCCTGGATAATGGGCATTGCGTCCCCACACGGGTCCTTGTCCATCTGGGGCCTGTTTCCTAACAGTGACTCTTTAGTGAGGCCCAGGGAAAAGTGAGGGACACATTTATCACCTGATGGTTCTAGTGATGGGGACTGATTCCCAGCTGTCACAGGTCAGAGGGGACAGTCCTTCCTAAGGACAGATGTCCAGACAGGTGGTTGGTCCAGTCTCCACACTAGGGCTTCCCCATATTTCCTGATCCTACCCTGGGTGTTCAGTCACAGTTCTGGAAACTTCTCTGTTCTTCAGGAGTGTGGGCTCCTTTAGGGTCACGGGACCCAGCCTCCCCCCTGACTTCTCACAGAATGTTTTCTTCCCACAGGCAGAAGCAAGAAAAGCAACACTCACACTGCCTGTAAGTCTGGGTGTTGGGGAGGTGACATCTGGGACCTTTGGGAGAGTGTGGGCTGGAGTCTGTGAGGGGGGCTCCCCTACCCAGTAACTCTGCTGTGTGTCTTCCCCAGGCAGTGACAGTGCCCAGGGCCCTGGTGTGTCTCTCACAGCTCCTGATGGTGAGATTCTGAGGGCAGAAAGTGAGGGACATTGGGACCAGGGACACAACTGGGTTTTGGGGACATTCTGAGTATGTGGTGGCTATGGGAGAATGTGACACTTGTGATACTGACCTGAATTTGTTCACAATAACTTCCTTTGCAGGGTGACAGGGCTCATTTCTCTGAGAGTTGGTGTAAAAAGAGTCATTGCAGCCTCCCCTTGGGACTTTAAGGGTCCCTGACTGCTGTTTGTTCACCCAGCATCAGAATGTTATTTAATCATCTCAATGTCTCTGCATTACTTTAATATTAGTGATATATATATAAATAAAGCAGAAATGTTGATTAAAAACTCCAAGCTGTATTGTTTCTGGTAGGTGTTATTCTAGAAATACTTCATCCCATTTATTAAGGTCTTTGATTCACTTGAAGTTCATACACTTACCATGGGGTGTGTTGACACCCGCGGAGAGACGGACTCTGTGTCACAGGACAAGGGCACCTCACAGATCCCCAGTGATGCTCCCTGTGACCACCTGTGCTCCACACACTATTCAGGATTTCTTCCCACACATCTGACTGTGACCTTCTGAACTCCTTAGCCATGGCTGGTTGAGTCCCCTGATTCTAACCAAGGGCAGCCTTGTCACCTAGGAGTCTCCCCAAGCTTCTGTGCCCCTTCTTGTAGACCTCAGGATTGTCCATGTGGAGTCAGAGAGCTGACCAACCTGAAGGTGAGGAACACCTTCTTAAGGCAGAAACTGTTGCAGCAACCACTGTCCTTAATCCACTGCAGACACTGCTTTCATTCTGCAGATGCTGAGTCCTGGAAGGTCATGGCCAAGGAGGCCATGTCCTTTGTGGCTTCCTCTGAGAGTTCCTGCCCAAGAAAGAGCCCTCAGGCCACAGGGTCATTCTGGCTGCTGAGCTGAGAACAGAATCAGGAGACAAGGGACCAGCGAGGCAAGAGGGAAAGGTGTGGGAAGCTCCCAGGGTTCCAGGCTGCAGGTGCTGGGTGTTCTGATGGGGCTGTGAGTGGTGGAAACAGTGGGAAGGGACTGGACACTGAATGCATTTGGAAGATGGATTTCACAGCATTTCCTAGTGATTCAATCTGGGGTGTGGGAAAGGAGTGAAGGAGGACACCCCATATTTGTGCTGTGCCAGCAGAAAGATGGGGTTATATCAGCAGAGATGGGGAAGTCTCTGGCAGGAGTATGTGTGGGGGAGGGGTGAGCATTTCAAGCATTCAGGTGAAGAGAAGGTCAAGGTGTGGCATCTGTTACAAACACCACTAAGGAGTCAGGTTGGACAGATGAGTATGGAGACCTTGAGGAGAAATGTCTAGGCAGGAAACACAGACTAGGAGGTGATGGTACGAGAATGACATTAAAGCCATGAGTGTGGATGAGGCCACCAAGCAAGCCAGGACTGTGGAAGAGGACAGAACAAGGACTGGACACTGTACCTCCCTGTACTGACAGTGGTGACATTGGTCACCACTGGTCACTCATCCACATTGCTGACATCTAGGTCTCCCCATCATACAGTCACCATTTGGTGTTTGTCATTTATGAGTAATTTACAGGGAGACATTGTGAGATTGTCCTGCTGTGCCCTTCACCACTTCCACACTCACCTTCCTTAGTCCCTCTCATAACTTCTACCCAAGTCAGTAAAAATATGATGGTTGTCTCATAACTGTCCTCAACATTTATTACTAGAATGTAAAGTACACCTTAGGAAATATAGTAAATAATATTATCATTATTATGTGTGGTATCAGATGGGAACTAGAAGTATCAGGGATATTACCGAATAAGCTATATACATGTTTCATATGCATATATTTTAACTCATGGACACAGACAACACATAATAATATGGTGGCAGGGGTTGGTGCAGGTGGGAGAGGGAATGTGGGGATAAATATTGATGGGAAAAGTAAAAAGAAAAAACTATTTTAAGTTTGAAAAGGTACTACCTTAGACATCATGCCCAACATTCTGACAGCATTTTGTGGAGATATTTGTGTAGTTTTTAACAAGCCCACAAGCCATCCTGATCTCAGAAAGATTTTGAACCACACAATTCTGTGATGGACTAGGGCCCAGATTGGGCAAAGGACTTCAATGCATGTTTAAGGGTTTTTTGGTTTTTCACTGGGGAAGGTAACATAGTTTATACGTTGTCATATGATATGAAAGGTCCAGCGTTTTCTCTACGGGCGGGGGGGGGGGGTAGAGTCAAGTGGAAGATTGAGAAAGTGGCCCTCAGTTCAACATCATGAAAATCTCGGAATACATGCCCTCTGGGATTATCCCCCTGAGTGATTTCTGAAGCTTAATGGAGCCCAAAATTTTCTAATTAAAACATAAAAGTATTTTAATATGAGATACTGGGGGCTCATTTTGTTTCAGGAAAAGCCACGGAACACACCAGAAGTGTGAGCAGCAAGAGCTGTGGGACTACAATGCACAGAAAGACCAGCCTGGGTCACAGGGATGACAGTGTGAGGGGCTTGGGGACAGGGTTCTGAGAAGAGAAGGAACTGGAGAAAAAGGGCCAGTGGGAAACACCATGACATGAGCTCCTGGCCCAGATGTCCCTGCACCCCAATGACATGTGACTATAAGCTCATCTCCACCCCCCCCAGGAACATAGGACACTTTCTCTGCCTCCTGCCCATGGCCCCTGAAGGCATCTCTGTAATGGCCACCACTGTCCCCAGTCACCAGATGTACCTCAGGATGATCTGCATTAGACATGTTTCCTCTACATTAGAGACACCCCAGGCTCCCCATGCAGACAGTGTTACTGATGGAACAAATGGCATAGTGGCATCACTGCGGGAAGGGCAGGACCACACACTCTGTCCCTGTAACTGGGGTCAGGATTCGTCCTGCCTGACCTGTCCCAGCACAGAGCTGTGGAGCTCAGACCAGCCAGGTAGGGGCTCCCTGGAGTCCACTCTCAGGGCAGAACTAGGAGGGGTCATCCCAGGAGGGACTGGGAGCTGAGGGTGGGCAGTGCCCTTAGCAGGACTGTGCTGAGCCTGCCTGGTCCTGAGCTGCCCCTCATACCTGGGCTGGGCAAGTTTGAGAAGGAAGTGTAGGGGGTGTTTCAGGAGGGTCCCTGCAGGTCCCTGTGCCCTGGAGTCCCCCTCAGTGAGAAAAAGGGTTTTCTTCCCTGGGAACCTGGGTGCAGCTTTATTGCCAAGTATTTAGAGCTGGGTTGAGGACAGGAGTGTGACTTGACATGCACTATTCGGTTATGACTTAAAAATCCCTGATCGTTAAATAAGACCCAATGACAGACACACACGCAGCTACAGACAGAAGGACACAGAGAAGTGTCTGCCCTTCAGTGACACCCCACACACACTTTTCCTGTTTCAAATCCCCCAGCAGGAGGTGCTGGCCTCGAGTTTCTGCTGGGACATCGTCACTCTCTTGTGTGGTTACTGTGTGTGTGAGTGTCACTCGTGTTTCTGTCTCTCATTGAATGGGGACACCCTTCTGACCTCTCATAAACTGAGGCATCAGGGAGAAAAAATTATTTGGATTGAGATGAAGTCTCGTTATTTTCCAAGTCTGCCAGAATGGATGCACGTGGTGAAAATAATTAAATATGACTTTTTAAAAAATACAATTATGAATAAGAGAATACCTACTTGCAGTAATTCAACAGTGTGCTTTATATTCAGAAATATCAATGTTCTTCTCTCACATCAATGTTTCTCTCCCTTCCTCCCTCTCAGAAAGCAATGAAAAAAAAAAAGTCCTATAGTGAGGATTAAAAAAAGATAAAAAGGAAAGAGAAAGTTTATTTTAGGAGGCAGCACCAAAGGCTTAGTAACAGGTGAGTTGATTCTCCAATGCCTCTATGGTATGGGTTGTAAAAGGCACTAAGGGACTTATACTCCAGGTGTCCATTGATTGGTTAGCACTAGGTAGGATTCAGGGCAGTTGACCATTGCATCTGGTCCTATGTCAGCAATGAGGCTGTTCTGTCTGTTTTCCCAAGTTCATTTTATGACTCACCCCAGAGTCTAATTCTTCATAAGTACATATCTGAGCACATCAGATATTTAACAACGTTCATCTCTGCACACACCTGTCCTCAGCCCTCAGTCCTGCCACAGGTGGGCAGGGTCCCTGAACACCTGGAGTTGTCGGACATCCTGGCAGTTGGTCACCTCCTCTCAGGCAGCCCTGGCCTCTCCTGTTCTGGAAACCCTGCCACCTGGATTCTACATGTTCCTCTTTTTTTCGTTTACTCCCTCCTTTTTTCCACCTTGGTAGTATTTCCCAAACAGAACGTGAGAAGTTAACCATGAAAACCCTAAGCGCATGCAGAAACTGTAGGCTACCCTAGCCCTTATTCACATCTTGACTGGATATAGAACTCTGTGTGGGAAATAATTTTTTTTTCTGAAGAAAGGAGGAAGCATTGCAAGAATGTCTTCTAGCCTCCATGCCCATGTTTGCTGCCTGTTCAAGTTTTCAAGGTCCCTCCACCCTCTTTCTCAAATTCCACTGTGTTGTGTCTCGGTGTGGGTCTGTTTTTATCTACTGTAGTAAGAATTTGTTCAGGCCATTCAAACTGTAATTTCTTATCTCTAAGCTTTGAGAAATATTCATGAAAATGTTAAAAATTATTTCCTACTCATCATTATTTTTAGACAGACATTATAAACCTGTAGGGATCTCTTGACTGGCAGACTAATAGGTCTTTTCTCCTGTTTCCCCACACTATTCTATTTCTATGACTTAGTAGGAGAATGACATGGATCTTCCAGTTCATCTACTCAATTGTTAATTTCTACAATAATATTTTTAATTTCCAAGAGATCTTTTCTGTTGTATGATTGTGCATAATTGTTCTGTATTAGATGCCATTATCTTTTACATCTTTCAGATTGGATGGAGACCAGTGGAAGGGGACCTGTAGGTCTCCAGCTTATCCACTTCTGTGATACCAGGAACTTTCCCTCACAGCACTGGGTCATGATCACA